TCAGCCGCAGACCCTCAACAAACCCACCGTCACTCCGCCGCAGGATAAACCTGTGCGCCAGAGACCACAGTCCCGGTTGCTGTGTGTCTGCTGAGGCAGCGAGGACAGGAATCGGGCCGTGCTAGTATGCAGGGAGCACCTGCTGGGTGCCGGCACTGTGGGGGCTCTGACTGTGACCGGCTGGGTGACCTTGGGCAGCTGACTTGACTTCTCTGTGCCTCAGTTTCCTCCTACAATGTGGGAGTTAAGGTAGGGTTGTTGGGAGGATGAAACAGGCTACAGACAGCAGGTGCTTGGTGGATACCTAGCACATAGCAAGTGCTCAGTAAATCTAGGGTAGGCGTTACGGGCCCATTTCCCAGAGGCATAAACTGAGGTCCAAGCAGTTGTGACTTGCCTGTTACTCCTAGTTACGCCCACAGGCAAGTGGCACTGAGGATTCAGTCCCACATCTACTTTATTCAAGATCAGCAAAGCCAGCTTCCTGGAGCATATCTTGAGCCGATTTGGAGGAAAGAGACGATTCAGGGCGATCAGGAAAGTGGGGGAGCCCATGCCCCAGATCCTGCCCCCATGAGTTAAGGGGCTCCGGGACTGCCTCAGGCTCTGCGTCAGCAGCGGGCAAGGGGGCCTAGAAGGTGTCCCTGCCAGCTGGGGCCGAAACTGCCCAGGGGCCAGGTGGGCCCCCCTGCGAAGGCCGAGGCCGTGAAGGCTTCCCCAGCACACACCCCTCCAGGCTCTGTGGGGTCCCCCTGTGGCTCTTGTTTCTGATGCTTATGCAGTCAGGTCATGAGATGAGCTGCCATTTCTTGAGCACCTACTGTGTACCAAGTGCTTTAGCGGAAAGAACTCATCTAATCCCCTGCACTCTCCCTCTTGGAGGTGGACACTTGCTGTGTTATTAATCCATTTTGCAGAAGGGGAAACTGAGGCCCAGAGAGGTGAAGTCACTTTGCTAAGATCTCCCAGCTGGGGAGAGTGGCCAGGACCCAGTGCCTGGCCCCATCTCACTACAGGGAGCCGGAGAGGTAGAGTCTGGCTGGGTGCCCAGGAGGGAGAGGGAAGCAGGCTCTGGGAACAGCCAGCTAGCCAGTCCCTGTTGGAGAGGCTGCTGGAGAGAGAAATCCTAGCGTCTCGTGCAGTGGCCTCTGGGCCGCTGTGTGCCCTCAAACTGGAACTTCCCTTGTTTTTTAAAGTACGTCATTTACAGGCTACCACATGGGTGAGCCTGGGAAACATGCTGAGTGAAAGAAGCCAGACACAGAGGGCTACATGGTGTAGGGGTCCACCTGCATGAAATGTCCAGAAGGGACAAATCCATCGAGACAGAAAGGAGACGAGGGGTTGCCAGGGGGCCGGGGTGGGGGCGTGAGGAGTGACTGCTCATGGGTACCGGCTAATGAGAACGTTCTAGACGGATTCTGGTGATGGTTACACAACTCTATGACTCTTCTCTAAGCCACTGAACTGTACACTTTAAATGGGCGAATTGTATATGAATTATATCTCAAAAAAACAATTCTCAGAACAATAAAACAGGAGTTCGCAAACCCAGGGAGCTCACGGACTAATACAATTAATAAAATAAACTGGGTACTGACAGCAGTGCTGCATGGTTTTCCCCTGTGAAGCAGGGATGCCGTATCTGCTCTCTGCCCCTATCCATCCCCATCCCTACGTGCGAATTTACCTGGAGTCATTGTTCTCCAGAAATCACTCAGTTCCCGGGAGGAAGTGTAACAAGGCGCGATCTCATTAGGATATGCAGGGGTGGGCTGCAAATCCCTTTTATGGTAAAGAACCCTGGAAATGTTCCCCCTTTTTGCCTTTCGCCGTTAACACTTTAAATGTAGTGGCCCTGGTCCAGGAAAATAAAGGGAACAATAAAGTTGATCCTGCTTGCTCTGCGAGGGCCCCATGGGTCTCTGGGATGCTGTCAATTTCCAGGGTCCCCGGGGCAGGGAGCAGTATATGTCCCAGACCCGGTCCTAATAGCACTTTAAATTAAGACAGGCCGTGAGCTTGGAACTCTTGGCTCTGGTAGAGAAAAGGCACAAGGAATATGTTGGTTCGAGGGTCTGCTTTTTATTAGTCAGGCATTGTTGTAAATTTGTCCTTGAAGGGTGAGGAAAGGCTGCTCTCTGCTTCCATGTGACGGTCTGGCTGAGAACCTTTGCCTCCACCTACGATGATGCTAGCATGAGATAATGCGTCTTCCCCACCCACGTGTGTCTGGCAGCCTCGCCCATCCCTTAGCAGTGACTGAGCCCTCTCGAGTCCACGGGCAGCTGCCGGCAAACGCCGGAGAAGGGGGTAGAATCCTTTTACTTCCAACAAGAGTCAACATGGTGGGAACAGCTGGACCAGAGGAGGGAGGGTGTCTGGCACACGGTGGTGCCAGGGAACATGTGTTTCTGGGCCAGGCCCTGCTCTAGAGCTTTGGGGGTTTATTAGTTATCGACTGCTGTGTAACAAAGGACTGCACACAAGCAGCTCACAGCAAGACGCCTATCACCGCCCGCTCAGCGGGGGCCCCTGCGGCAGGTCAAGGCATCGGTGGGGCTCGCTCTCACCTGGGAGACCGACTGGGGAAGGACCCACCTGCAGGTTCGTCGTTGGCAGAAGTCATTTGCCTGCGAACTGAGCACTGTCGTGAACATTTAGATGCACGTTTTTGTGTGGACGTCTGTTTTCGGTTCTCTGGGGTATCTACCTAGGAGTGGAATTGGTGGGTCCTGTGATGACTCTGTTTGGACCTTGACGATCTGCCAGGCCGTCTCCAAAGCAGCGGCACCAGTTTACAGTCCCACCAGCAGCGTATGAGGGTTTGCATCCTGTTTCAACACTTAGGAATCCTGAGAGTGCAGCTTTTAAAAATGGATTCCCAGCTTCCTCCTGAAAGATCAGAAGTGGCGTGACGGGGCTGGCTTCCTCCCATGTGGCCCCCACTGGTGCTGTCCCCATACAGTCTCACCTACCAGTACCTTGTTTCCGGTTTACCCCCCTGGTCCCCGCAGAGATGTGTGTTTGAATCTCTTGTCCTTCCTGTCCCCCCCACTTCCTTTTAAAGCCTGCTCCCTTTGAAGGCCTAGTTCAAATTCCACCTGCTCCAGGAAGCCTGCCTGGAATTTTCCAGCCCTTGGGGAGTTCTCCTATTATCAAACTCCTCTAGACCTTGTCATCCGCACCCCCTCCCACCCAGTAGTATTCTCTCTTGCCATCTGCTGTTTTCTACTTAAAAGCCATGTTCCCTGCATGCTTTGTGACAGCAGAGTCTTCTCCCAGCTGCTTGAGTTCACATCCCGACACCTCCACTTACTGTGAGGACTCAGACAGTACACTTTGTCTCTTCGTGTTTCCATGTTTTTGTTCGAGACAGGACTGTTGGGAGGATTAACCGTAGCACGTAGTAGGTGCTCAGTAAACGGCATCCTCATGCCCACAAGCTCTTCGTCCAGGGAGCCGTCCCCACCTCCATGCGGCATCCCCCCGGCCACTTTCCCCAGCAGAACCCTGGTCCCCCAGCCCCAGGAGGACAAGCAGTAGGTGGGCCTCACCCCACTCTGCTTTCCACCAGCGCATGGGCAGGGTCAAGGCCAGGGCACAATGCCACCTTCCTTCACTCCCTGCCAGCCTGCCCCGAGGGGGTTGCAAGAATGCTGCCTGCTCTGATGAGGTACCACCCCACAGACAGTCCCTGGGCTCGGCTGGACTAACAGGGGGACACGGCAGCCCTACATCTGGCAGAGTTTCCCGAAGTGATGTTGGCAAGGTTGCCAGAGCAGCTAAAAGCCTGCGGGGCGGGGTCCGTACAGGGGTTCCAGGCTCCCTGCCATGCTGAGGGGCCCCCGGCCCTAAGCGAGCCAGCAAGTGAATGAAGTGTGCTGGGCCCCGGCGCCGCCCTCTCCTGGCTCCAGCCTAAGCCGCCAGCACCCCTGTGGGATTTGCGGGGGCTGCAGTCTGGGCCGTGTCACCATATGGATCCCATAAATTAAAGCGTTCCCGGAAACAAACGGTAAATTTATCCGTCTCCCGCATGTGGAGCTGCTGGAGCCTGGATGGAGCGCTGTCCGTCTCTCCCCGGTACTTTGGTTTTATAGCCCTAATCCCTGGAAAAACAGGGTCAACGTGAAGTTGCTTTTCGACAGCCGTGCGGCTCTGAAGCTCGTAATCGGGGCCGTGGGGCGTCGCCAGTCCCCGGGACCGGCCCCCAGGGAACTGCTCTTGTTCAGACCCTGGAACCCTGGCGCCCAGGATGCTCAGCTGAGTTGACCCTGCCTTGGCAGCTCAGGCCCCCCCTACCCCTCTCTGAGCCTCAGTTTCCCCAACTGTGGAAAGGGGGTGGGGTGACCGGGATAGTCACATCCATAGAGACGGAAAGTAGGGCGGTGGGTGCCAGGGCCTGGGGGAGGGAGTACGGAGCGGTAGTGTTTAGTGGGTGTGGAATTTCCATTTGGGTTGATGAGAAAGTTCTCGAAATGGATCCGGGGATGGTTGCACGTTGTGTTTGGACTTCATGCCACTGAGTTGTACACTTAAAAATGGTCAAGACGGTAATGTGTATCTTACTACAATTTCTTTTTGAAGACAGAAAAAGCCGGGGAGATGACTGCCCTGTGGGGTGAACTGAAGATTAACTAGGTTAATGGTTATAGTTGCAACTAACTCGTGGGTAGTTATTACAAACTTCCGCACAGAGAATAGGGGCTTGGGTAGTGATGGGACCTGGGAGTGGATCCTCAGTGCCCAGTGATCGCCTGGTGTCCACCACGCTGCTGGGCAGGTTTGCTGGGCGAGGCCGTCGCTGGTACTGACTCACACTGGCAGTCTGGGGACCAGCTCTGCTGCTGCCCCGAGCCAGCCACGCTGCGGCCCTGATGACAAAGCCAGGCCATCATGGGGGAGGGGTGGTACCCAGCGGCCCAGGGGGCCCGCCCTTTGGGCACCTCCTGGCAGGCGTGACCAAGACTCACCATGTCCCCCCTCCCCCGTCCTTCCAGGTCACCTCTGCATCTCTCGAGGCATCGACGGCCGTCCACCCTCCCTCCCGGGAGCCCGAGCCTCGGCCAGGCGCCCCAGCGGAGAGCCTGCCCAGGGGCCCCAGGACCGCCCAGGAGCAGGGGCCAGCCCGGTGTCAGCAGAGCAGCCTGGACGGGGCCGGACCGGACCTCACGGGCACAGGTAGGTGCCAGCTTTTTACTGTCTCTGAGTGCTGGAGTGGATCAGGCTGCCCCCGGCAGCGAGGGAGCACGCAGAGAAAGTTCCGGCGCAGACTCCCACCCCGCGGCCGCCACGTTCCAGGGAAAAGCCAGGAGGCTGCGTCTCCCTGACTTGTTTGATTTTCTTCCCCTGCTTCTTAACACCGTCTCATGGTTGATTCACAGGTGGCCTTGGTTGGGTTGTTGTTGTTTTTTCATCTCTACGTTCCATTGTGTTCACTCGTTCATTTAAAAAATAACGTAATGGATCCCCGTGAACCACCAACCAACCCAGCCCTAGGACGCTCTGTCTACCTGGACGCCCCGGCGCCCCCGGAGGGACCCGCCAGGTCCCATTTGCCGTTTCCGTCGCACCTGTGTTTGCCTGACTCGCCGGTGTCCTGGGGGTGTGAGCTTTGTCTCCTGGGCCCGGCTCAGCGCTGCGAGGTCCTTCTGTTGTCACAGCTGCCGCAGTGCTTGGTTTCACCGTCGTGCGCCACGGGATGGTGGGCCCGCCGGGTGAGTGTGCCCGTGCTCCCTCCCACCTTGTGGCTGCGCCACACGCGTCCCGGCACGTGGCTCTCGGCGTAACCCCATTTAGGCCAGAGGGAACGAGGGTGTCCAGCCGGGGAAGATGCTGACCAGCGTTCTCCTGCGTGGGCGTTCACCCCCTCCCCCTTCAGCCTTGGAGACCCCGTCCGCGCATCTCGGCCCCATTGGACACATCACTTTCCCCATTGGTGGAGACGCAGCTCCCTCGTGGGTTGTTGGGCCTGAGTGTGGAGTCCCAAGGCGTTTATCGTGGGGCACATGGGCCCCGGGCTGGGAACAGTGAGTGGACACCTGCGTTCTTACCTAGGGAGGGTCGTGGAACAGCCCCTTAGGCCGAGAGCCCTCAGAGCGAGTCCCTGTATGTGTCCTGCCCCTAAGAGGACTGAGTCTCAAGACCGCCCCCCAGCCCAGGCCTCCCTGTTGCTGGCCCACTGCGGGGGCAGCTGGCGGAAAACACTGCTTGTTAGAGAGCCGGAGCGGGCAGGTTGGGGGAGCCGGCGCGTGGTCATGTGGACATCCATGTCCAGGACAGCCCCAGTACCCACCTTCCTCTCCGCAATGTGGACTCAGCGAGGGAAGGGGCCACCCAGCCCTCTGCGGGGCTTCCAGACCCTGGCTGCTGGGGACGGAGTGTCAGGCAGCAAAGGGGACATGCAGGTGCTGGGCAGGGAGGCCCCGAGCATTCTCTGAGCCTGGGACAAGTGTCTTCTTGCAGTGTGCCTCAGTTTCCTCATCTGAGGACTGGGAAGGAAGGCCAGTGGAAGTGCCTGGCTCGCGGGCAGGTGTGAGAATTAAAGTAACCAGGGCAGGAGCGCACTCAGTGCAGGTCCTGACCCCCCGCCCCCACGAGTGCCTCAGCTCTGGGTAATAACCTGCAAAACCGTGACCCTCGGGGACCCTCCCCTCCCCCGGTTGGCACGCACGAGCCCCTGCCCCCTGCCCTGGGGCTGCCCCAGGGCAGGGGCACAAGACCCACGTCTGCCAGCTGCTCTCTGTCAGGCTGTGGCCCTGCCTGGCGTGGGGGGGGGGAATGGGGGGGCCCAGCTCACAGCTGGAGACCCGCCAGGAGCAGCCTCCCACAGTCAGCCCCTCCCGGGGAGGCCGCCGCTGCTGCTACTTGGAAACGTGACAGTGACTAATGGTTTATTACACACCTGCCACCTCTCATCGGGCAGGCGCACACAGCCCCCGGGTCCAGCTGTGCACTGCCAGCTGGACGGCGGGGCGGGCGCAGGGGCGAGCACTTAGAGACACATGGACACAGGCGCAGGGACACGCGGGGACAGGCGCAGACCTGGCAGACGCACCAGACATGAGGGTACATGTGCAGAGACACACACACGGGCACTAGACGCTCTTACACGTGCACATAAGGACACATCGCAGACACACACCTGGGAACGCATATCCGTATGCACACGTGTCCCCCCCACACACACAGCCCTGTCACTCCCTCTCTCCAGAGCTCTGAGCCCCTCCCCGTCTCCCCGCTGTCTCTCCCACTCCCTGCATGGTGGCATCCACCCCAGTGCTGCCTTTCCCAGAGGACGGGGTGGCTGTGGGCAGGTTGGGGGCTGCATCTGTTGCCTTGGGGAGGGGGTAGCTTTCTGTTGCCATCCGTTTCTGAGCCCCAGTTCCCTGCAGACATCTTTGCCAGGGGAAGGAAGCTGTCACACCGGCAGCCCTGGTGCCGGGCTGGGGGGCTGGGCCACGTGCCCCCAGGGATACGCACGGCCAACCTGCCTCGGTTTCTCCCAGAGGAGGAGGCCGTGTGGTCCTCGCGCGCCGCGCTGGGAGGGCCCACCTGGGGAGTGGTCACTTGCTGGCTGCAGGGGAAGCGGGGACCCCCACGGCTGGCATCCCTCTGGCGGGCCAGGCACGGGCCTTGGACTGACCAAGCTGGTGGGGGAAGGGTTCCATCCAAAGCTCACCACGAGGCAGCCTTCCCTTGTAGGCGGCAAGCCCTCAGGCCCAGCTCTTTCCAGTAGTCTTAAGCCTTTAGTCAAAGGGAGGTCCATTTCTCATGTGCCACTCGCAGGCGGTATGGAATCCAGCAAGAGGACGCTTGCAATTCATCACCAGCTCATGGGGACAGGCGTTCCTGAACGATGATCTCTGCCGTCGCAGGCTCCTTGGGAGAGAAGCAGCAGCGTCTGGTGATGAGTGAGGGTGTGGCTGGTGTCCTAGACCCAAGTCCGAGTTTCCAGGTCTCAGAGCTGCCACTTCCCGGCCGTGGAGCCTCTGCAAGGTTCAGAATCTTCCGAAAGCTTAGCTGCTCCAGCTGCCGAGTAGGCGTGAAATTGTAACAGTGAAATCTTCTTTGTAGCATAGTATCGGTGACATGGGAGGAACGCCAGGGGGGCCCCCGGGCTGCAGGGCAAGGCTGTGCAGGCTGCACACTGCACCATTCCAGGGGGCGCCGGTCCTCTTGCCGCCTCTGTGCACGTGCTCCCTGCCTGGCCGTCGGGGCTGCCATGTTGCACCGCGGAGCAGTGGCCCTGTAGTTCTGCCGCATGGGCCCTGGGTGTCCTTTCTGAGCTGTGGGACAGCTTCTGAAATGGCAAATAATATAGCGCTAGTGAGAGCCACAGACCCCACTGATGGCTCTGGGATGGGGTCACAGAAAGCCAGGCAGAGACAGACTCTCCCATCACGGCTGTGTTCCTGGGCACCTCCCTTTCTCCCCTGCCACGTTGGAGTGCTGGGCTGGGCCAGCCCTGTTGGGGGTGGCCTGTGGGTTCCTGCTGTCCTAATAGCCGCTGACCTGCTCCCACCCAGAAAGCCTCCATTCTCATTTGTACTTATTCCAGGTTTTGGGGGACCACTGGTCCAGCGGGGAGGGGAGAGGAGGAGTGGGGCTGGCAGGGTGGGGGTAGGAGCCAACGTGGGAGACACCGTGCACCTTCCAGAAGACCCCTCCCTTCACCTGCTCCTGTCACGACCACGGCAGCGGCTGCCTTGGAAGAGTTCGGGGTTAGTTCCTGCTGCTGCTGTAACAGGTCATCACCAAGTCGGTGGTTGAAAGCGATACGTATTTAGCATCTTACACTTCCGGAGGCCACAAGTCCAATCTGGGTCTCACTAGGCTAAAATCAAGATATGGGCAGGGCTGCGTTCTCCCTGGAGACTGTTGGGCAGAATCAGGTTTTCTAGCTTCTGGAGGCTGCCCACATTCCTTGGCTTGTGGCTCCCTCCTCCACCTTCAAAGCCAAGAACCTTGCGTCTCTCTGCCCTGCTTCTGTGGTCACAGCTCCTCTGGCTGTGTCCTGCCCCCTTCCTCCACATATAAGGACCTATGATTCCAGGGGCTCACTGTACCATCCACGGTACACTGTCATCTCAAGGTCAGCTGATTAGCAAACTTCATTCCCCTTTGCCGCGTGAGGGAGCGTACTCACAGGTTCCAGGGATTAGGATGTGGGTGTCTTTAAGGACCACTGTCCTGCTGACCATTCTAAAGTCCCTTATAAAATCAGTTTATGAGTCAGGGCAACCATTGACGGGAGTTGTACAGGTAACCCCGAGCCCATTGTGAGTGACACAGGGTCCCAGGTTTCCTTTAGCTCGTGGCTTCCAGAGTTTCCCGATTCCATCACCAACAGACACGGAGAAGAGAACACGAGAAAGCCACTGGACATACACCCTTGGCCTTGTGGTGACCCGTGTCCTCCCACTGGCCTCAAAGATGGAAGGGAGCTGGGCAGTGACAGCTGTCCACTGCAGCAGGGCCCGGGCATGGTGGAGAGTCAGCTGGTCATCTTTGCCCCGGCTGCCCACCCCCCTGGGCGGTTCATCCACGGCTCCGTGAGCTCCAAGAACGTGGGTCTGAGTCTGTCCTGCTGCACCTGGATACCCTGCCCTGGTCCCCGTGTGCTTTGGGGGAAGGGCTGGGCGTCCTCATCCCCTGGCAGGTGTGGGGACGTGAGGCCCCTCCAGGGCTCCCCTGGACCAGGCTGGGGCTTTACCTGGGGTGGCATTTGCTTTCTTTCTCTGCTTCCTTATCCCGTCCCGTCCCTGCTCCCTGGGTGCCGTGCCTTATGAATCACTCTCACACACATCCTTGTCTGCTTCTGATGAACCACCTGGGATGGCGTATTTCCCAGGGCCGTCCGCTCAGCCTTGTCTGCAGCAACACGGCACATGCGTGCACCGGCCCCCAGTGTGACCGGCCTCTGCCCGGGCTCCCCAGCCCCACGGATGTGGGGGAATTGACCGCAGGTGCTGTGGCTCAACCAGCTCTCCCAGGAAGGGCGCCCCACGAGCCAAGAGCACGGAGAACCAGGCGGCTTCCCGGGAGCTGAGCCCCGCAGGCCAGGCTGAGTTCTTGGAGCCTGGGGGCTGCGCCTGGAAGATGTAACCCGAGAGCCGTGAGGACAGAGCAGTAAGAGTTGCCTGGACCTTGAATGGTCATAGGTCCCAACGTCCGTCCTG